GGGGAAGGTGAGAAAAATAGTGTAAATCTAAAGTGGGGGGTAGGATGCCCGGGGCGGGTGAGGGCGGGGGAAGGTTTAACTAGGACTGGTTTTCGACTGACAGTTTTTTTTTATTAAACCATCTGAATTTCCAAAGATAAGCCATTCAACGATTAACGACCAGAAATCGTTAATGATCAACCATCTTTAACAAAAGTGAAAAGAATGTCAAAAAGAAAACACGTGTCCATACTTAGTGTGGGCCAAAAAAGGGTGATAACAAGACGTGTTGGGGATAAAAGAACACATAAACAAATTTTTTTAATAAAAGTGAAAATTTAGCAAATCAAAAATGATGATAACTGTTCAATCTTTAACATATTTTGCTGGGCAAAACAATAACATTGCCAAGCAGTTTTCTTCAACATAATTAAACATAATAATATGTATATCTAAAATCAAAGAATTGACTTAATAATTTCTCTTTTCAACAAAAAGATCAAGTAAAGCTACAAGAAGAGTAGCTGTGTAAAACTTGTTCAACAAATTATGTTAACAATTCTTAGAAGTTCAAACACGATAAACACTGTTAGATTTATCTAACATTCTGTTAATGATTTCGAAAACAATGCTAGCGGTAGATGTTCAATATTAAGCACAAAATGTTTTGGATTTTTCTAATACTGAACACAACAAAACTAATAATAAATGCTTTAAGCAAATAGCGCCGCAGAATATTTTATTATTCCGTCCAATCATTCAAGATTTGTTTCACCAGTGTTTTGTTTATTTAGCGCCATTTTTAGTAAATCGTTATGTACTGCAGGTCAGTACATAATTACGTTCCGCTGTTAGTCCAAAGCATCTCTGCGGGTGTGTACTGTATAGTTAGTACATGATTACGTCCGCTGTTAGTAAAAAGAATCTATGCACCGTACACAATTCCTTTTAGGGCAGTACAACATGTAGGCTAAATACTGTAATATTCTGCCACACCTAATCGTACTGCAATTAGTTTTTGTACTACAGTCAGTGTTTAGTTGAAGAATGTTAGTGAAGAGAATAATGCAAACAACATCAACAGCAGCATCTCGAGCAAACCTAAAAGTAAAATTTTATTTTATTTAATTCATGATTTTTTATTACTCGCTACTAAAATACAGAAATAGCTATTACCATAGATAAATAAATAAACATAGGTAGCTTATGTACGCAAAATCACCAAGAATTGTACAGTCCGCGAACTCATACTTCTAGGGGTAAAAGTGTACTTCAATGATAAGCGGGGTGGTTTGGTTTTTTAATGGATTTCATAATTATTAAACCACTCAGGAGTGAATTTTATTTTGAGAATATCAAATTATCAAATAATCATATTGACGAGAACTGAAGAAGGACATGAGAAGGACTAAACTAACTTAAATTCATAGAGAATAGAATATATGGAGAGGAATTAACTAGAAAAAAGTGTAAAACGGCCATTTTGTTGTACTGTTTCCATACTGCAGGTGTACTTCACATATTTATTACTGTATTAATGTACTCTACTTCATATAATTTGTGAACATTTACATGATTTGTACACTTTGAACTCCCTTTCAGGCTGAAAGGGACTGAAAAAATTCATACCGAGAGATTCTTTTGATTCCTCTCTATATATTCTATTCTCTATGCTTAAATTTCTCTCTACAGAACTCATGTACACCACAAGTATTCAATGACATAAGAACAGCCAATGTTCACAACCGACATAGTTAATCTATATAATAGGAATATCTTTAAAACATCTCTGTACATTTATATCTTTTCAAGATGAAAAATGTCGTCTTATGCGCAATCTATCTTTATCTATGGCTATTACTCGCTACTAAAATACAGAAATAGCTATTACTTGCTACTAAAATACTGAAATAGCTATTAGTTGCTACTAAAAGTTCCCAACCCCTATCAGGATTTAGTCTACACAGAGGCCGGATTTTATAAACAATTAGAAGTAGTTGAACTAGGCACACCGCACATATGGTTTCAGTGAATAAAATTGTTAAATACTACATCTGGTAGTTATTAAAAGCAGATTAAAAAATTTCAATGTTTGATGAATTTTTAACAGGGTCAATCAAGCTATCAAAATTGACACTGATCACTCCCCTTAAGTCATAATTTTCTAATCCTTATATCTTTTTAACCTGACAGACTTGTGAAATCTGCTAAATCAAATAGTACATGTTAAAAAAATTGATCAGGTTTTTACTATCAGGTTGTAATCAGTTTAAAATTATAAAAACTGAGTAAATTAACAAACATTCTTTTAAATAAACCAAAAAAAACCTTAAACTCAAACAAACCATGACAAACAAACAAACATGCATATCAAAAAAAATCAAATATAAAACAAACCATAACATACAATCATACCAAACAAACAAGCCATAACAAACAAGCAAGCAATAACAAACAAAAAAAATCATACAAAACAAACAAGTCATAACAAACAAACAAATCATCACAAACAAACAAAAACAAACAAGCTTTAAAACCAAACAAAAAGATACGATTAAAAATAACAAAACAAACAAACAAACATAGATCAACATATATTAAACCAAAAACGTTAAGCCTAATTTTAACAAACATATAATTTTCTTGAAACTTTCTATCTTTGCTGTAGAAATTATAAACCGACTAACGATATCACCATTAGCTAAAATAAAATTGTGCAAAAATGGTAAATTTTGCACAAGTTTTCTACCCTACAACGGAGTGCAAGAATAGGCTTGCACACTTCTGCACTTTAAAAACATTGAATAATGATCTAGTAATGAAGTAAAACCCTGGCAACTACGAACCACAGTTAAGAATATCAATGTATGATTATTATATAAAAAGGCCTTTTTTCTTTTAAAACTAAAATCATATGTCTAAAAATCAAAAATAAAAATGAAAAGCAATGTATTTGAAAAAAAATATCCTCTCCCGCCATCCGATTGAGTGTCATATCACCCCTTTAAACACATTTTCAATTCCAATATCTTAAAGGGATTGTACGCATAATTTCAAATGAATCTCATTTCAGAGACGGCAATGTCTCATTTACAACGATATAAACATCTAATTAAACATCGAAGCCAGAGTAGCGTGTGTGTGTGTTTCTCTCAAATTATGTTCGAATTGTCGTAAAATATTTTTAAAGCAAAATATTTTTATATTTTCGTAAACATAAAGGTTCACAACATTTAAAGATAATTATTACAACAGATATACGAAAAAAGCATTTTATTTTATAGGTATAAGTTGACTATGTTTTCATAGCCAGGATTACAGTTAAAATGGTTCAAGAAATGCAACTATGGGCTATAATAATATAGCGTTTTGTAGAGTTAATTATAGGAAAAAGAGAAAAACCTTATGATTACAAAATTAACACTTGGAGACAAAACCAATATTTATTTTTCTATGTTTTCGGTGAAAGTAAACAATTTTTATCCAATTGTCGTAAGATATCATTTTACAGTGTACACCGTGTGAACTTATAACAGGTGACGTATACCTCGAAAATACCGAATACCCTTTGATCAAGGATGTCAGACTTATCCTTAATCTATAGAAACGGTTTTCAGTTTGAACACTATAATTGCAAGTTATTTTATAATTGTACTTTCTAGAAGACACAGAAAATATTCAAAAAAATTCAAATGAAAATGTTTATTTTCTGTAACTTCTAGAAATTAAAAATATGAATATCATAATAAAATAAAACAGGGTGCAATTTAAGTGTTGAACGATTAAAAGGGTTTCTGTAGATTAAGGATAACTCCGACACCCTTAATCAGACAAAGAGTACTGTTGTAAATCAGGTAAATCGGAAAAATGCCCTGGAGTCACTTAAAATTACGCTTACAGTGTCCAAATTTAATGAATATCAGCCCCGTCTCAAATTCCCCAAATACCGGTTTCAATTGAGCGTCTTAAATATTGAAAAATTGAAAACAATTTTAAGTGAAACCAACCATATTTGAGATCGGCTTAAATCTAAGCTGCGGCTCAAATGCTTTAAATTCGGCCTCAGTACTTTTGTTAAGAAATAGAATTAAAAATAAAGACTCTATAGTTATTTCAGATATTTGGTTTAACATTTTGAAACCAACGACTTACGAAAACTCAATTTGAGTTCGTAACCTTTGAACGATCGGATTATATTTAAACCGATTCAAGTGACTTAAACTGATCTACTAACCTGCATTGTGTGAGTATAAAGAGGAAGAGGATCCAGAATATACTTGGAGATAAGCTGATGCTTCCGCTTTACCCAGCACTAATAACAAAAATAATAATGATACTTTTTTATAATACATAGTTCACATAAGTACAGTTCGAAAAAATTATGACCGGAAAGTGTGCTTAACTAGGATGTACCGTCTTAGTAAATTATGTCATGTAATCGAGAAAACTGATTCTTTGGGGGCTTAACTATAGTGGGCTACCCACAAAAGATGAAACTAGCATGAAATTCGACATGCTGCCTTGCAACCATACCGTATTTAAGTGACCCGGCTTATAACGGTACTCTTGAAACCTTAATCTGATCAAAGATAACGTTAACTAATCAAAGTTTTGAATTCTGATAATTTTTTAACAGTTTCACCATAGTTTCAGTAGAAGATAATATTTCCATTTACTGATAGCGCTGATTGAAGAATTCATAACTCCGATTGGTTAATGAAATAGATAGAAATATTTCTATTGGTTCAGAATAGACATCCAACACATGACTGAACCCTGATTGGATCAGGCGCTGATGGACTCGGCATACAAGAGTGGTTTTTAATAACACAAAAAATAGATTTCTATTTCATACTGATTAAGACAAAGTTTTTAAGGGTACCGTTGTAAATCAGTCATGACAATTATTCAATTCAGAGGCTCAATTAAAATTACGTTCACATACCCTTTAAGCTAATTTATCACTCCTGTATGCCAAGTTCATTAGCGCCTGATCCAATCAGGGTTCAGTCATGTGTTTGTTGTCTATACTGAACCAATAGAAATAGTATGGTGGTAACATTTATCTTTTTATCTCTCTTATTATCCATTTAGAGTTATGAGTCCTTCAATCGGCGCTATCATTAGGTGGAAATATTTACTTCTACTGAAACTAAAGTGTTATATCTTACCGTTTCCTGCGACACATGTATATGTTCCTTCATGGTTGGGTTCTACTCGTTGTATTATATGTGTATGGGGGTCTCCGGACCTTGCAGTCTAAAGAAAAAGCAAGATAGAAACACATTAAACAGACTGGTCACGGTTTTAGAATAGAAAGTAGCATTTTTTCCCCTCTTAGACTTATTTAAACTTTAGACTTAGCTGTTTAATTAGGCTTCGTACTTTATATTATATTTTAATAAAGGAACTGTCCAGTTTTTGCATCAAAATTTTCCTATTTCTATTTTTTGCAACCCAATGTCATAGACCTTTGATATGTTAAACTACGAATTCTGTTAGATAACAAAATCTAAGTTTGATTTATCAAAGGTTTGCATCCTCTGGTTTCAGATATACAGGGATTAGAACATTTGAGTTTGTTGTATAAACTTAATTCCTTTGACTGAATTTTCTGTTTTTATTGTTTAATTTTCAAAATTTAAAACATATCGAATTTGTATTGTGACATCAGTCTTATACCATGTGAATGACGTGTCGTCTCAATCAAATTTGGTTAAACCGTTTGACGTTTTTATAGATTACATCAAACTGAAAACACAAATATATTTGTTAAATTAAATACTTTTACGTTTTAATATTATACATACATATATATATATTACATAATATTTCAATGCCAAAAAACTTTGGTTTTTGCAACCTGAATGCTGATGGTGAATCTTTTAACATATCAAACTTTGACTCTTTGCTGTTGTGGATTGTTTAATTTGAAATAGTAAAGACGCATATATATAAGACCACACATTGCATGCATATCTTAATTAGAAAATTTGAATTAAAGACAAGTCTTCAGTTCCTTTTGTCGCCATATTGAATATTGAGTTTAATGATGTCGAAACTAATACAATCCTAGGAAACTTTATCTTGTCGGAGAAATTAATTTTCAAACTAATATACGAACTGCTTACAGGGGGTGGGGGGGGGGGGAGTTTGAAAGAATGTAAAGCCTTTGAGAATTTAATTTTATCTTTACGATTCTTTTACACTGGAACCAGAGCAAGCTTTTAATCAAAAGTTTATTTAAATTTTATGAGTTTACAAGGTTTAGTGGGGTGTAATATACAGAACATACAAATTCTTTACAAATGTACATTTTAAAAGAAATAAGGAACAATATTTTTGAACTGAATTCCACCCAGGGAAGTTTACAGGGAAATTTATAGGACAAAAACAGTTTCAAATTGCTGAAAACATTTGAAGTTCATAGATTATTTTTTTAAAACATGTGATTTTGTACAGCTTAGCTAAAATATTGATTCTACGTGCAAAGTTTTGAATCCTGTAATTTTCCTGGTTTTAAATTTAAACAAGTTTATGTCGTCTTCATTATGACTTATCTATGTAATAAAGCTCTTCGCTCATATATCTATATAATAAAACAAGACATTCGTATATATGTTGCGTATAGCCGGCCAAACGGCTGGACCGATTGGGCTGATTTTTTTTGTGGACACTCATGGGTGGCCGGGGGGTGTTATAGGCTAAAAAAGTTAGATTTTTTTTTTCAAAATCTTTTTTTTTTCTATATTTTTTTCCACGGGCAACGCCGGGCCCTTCAGCTAGTTTTTATATATTTGTATGTACATAAGTTAACTATAAGCTGGCCTAACTGCTGGACCGAATTGGCTGATTTTTTTTGAGAAAACTCATATGGTCCTCTAGGGGTAACAAAGGCTAAAAAATGTTTTTCAAAAATAGATTTTTTTATCGATTTTTTTTAATTCTACGGGCGGCGCCGAGCACTTCAGCTAGTCTCATAATAAGAATATACCTTTATTTTAGTCGCAGTTCCATTCGGCATATCATGATACCATTCAATAAACGCTACAATGCAGGACATGTCGATCTAAACAAAATAAATTCAACGGGATTGGTCGAGAAAATAAAAGAGATATTTACAGGATGATTAGCTATAAATCAAAGCATTAGATTGCTACAACTGCTATCTACACGCACCTCCGACCCTTTAATAAAAAAAAATTCAACCTAAAGTCTGACCGCGTCAACCTTGTTGCACCGGCTAGTCCTATTATTTACCCTATTTCCAGGCGATACAGTACAAACTAGGACCGGAAAAGTTGACCCGGCTCGGAAATTCAAATGACTAAGGTTGCCCGTGTCTAATCTTTCTTTATAGAGAAATTAACATAATTCAGAAATTGCGCCAGACAATGTTTGAATTAAAAAGTTTATTGTTCTTAAATCAAATATATGGTTGTTCATCAAGTACAGAGATATGTGTTTTTAAACTTATCTAAACTAGCGTGTATTCAGTTGAAAATTTATGTGAGCGCTGTGTTAAGATTAGACGTACTGTACTTTGGGTATCTTAAAATTACGCATAGTTAGTCCCTTTAATATTTAAATTAAAAATGAGAATTTCAATGAATTGTTGGATATTAAATCCCTTCCTTGTGTGTTAAACAAGCCCAGGAGAGGAAAGATTTATGTCTCTTTCATGATAAAAGAAATTAAAAGAATTCAACTTTACCCTCATTTAAAATAGTTAATTCTGAAAATATAACATTTATCTATTTCATGAAAACTTATTTCTTAATAATTTATTAGAAATATTCATTTGCTTATTTTCTGCAATTATATCAGGGATTAATAGGCTAGGACAGTAGGACGGATAGACCTAGCTCCAGGGATAAATAGGCTAGGACAGTAGGACGGATAGACCTAGCTCCAGGGATAAATAGGCTAGGACAGTAGGACGGATAGACCTAGCTCCAGGGATAAATATGATAGGACATTAGGACGGATAGACCTAGCTCCAGGATAAATATGATAGGACAGAAGGATGGATATACCTAGCTCCGGGGATAAAATAGGAGAGGACAGAAGGACGGATAGACCTAGCTCCAGGGATAAATAAAATAGGACAGTAGGACGGGTAGACCTAGATCCAGGGAGAAATAAAATATAGCTTAAATATATCTAAAATAAAACTTTTTTACTTCCTTGAAATAAAACAAGATGTTTACAACATAAATATTTATTTTATATATCAAGCCATCACTTCGTATATTAATTATAAACTTTTTTCAATGAACGCGCACAAACTCTAAACTAGCGCGGTGTCAAATATCGTTATAACAAGTTCTTGTTAAACAGGGTAACATACAATACAGTTAAAGTACACATTTATTAGAGTTGGGCATCCTGTTTAATTCGGATCTTTAAACATTTAAAATATATATTTTTAGTAGGGTCTACAAAAATATAAATAGTCATGCACAATTCAAAATGATTTTCTCTAGAAGTTTTCTTATGATTATGCAAATTTTAACCCTAACAAAAGATGTTAATCTAAGCAAAAATAATCATTAACGAACGATAATAGTTCAAGGTTATGTTTTTTGTATAGTTAATTATTACATATTGTAGAAAAAGCTACTTTTAGAGCATACATTTTGAAATATGATAAAATTTAAATTTTTGTTAACCTTACTCAAAGGCAAATAACCCTAAAAGTCAAAAAAACGGATAAAAAGCAATGCCCCGCACTACATTTATACACAAAGCATATATACAATATAGCCGCATGGAGGATTACAAAACAGGAGTGGGCACAGACCCGTGTCACTCCAGTTTTTAAATCTCCATATTCATAAGAACATAATATATTATTCAATCCTCAGCACCAAATTTAACAATTTAAACAAAAATTCTAATTAACAACATCTTCATTTTAATAAAATTGTTCAGATAAATATTTCTAAAAATTTTCATAAAACGAAAAATTCCGGATTACACTTTTCTTTGCGACGCCTACTATTTACGTATAATTATACACAATTTCAGAGATCTCTAAAAATGTTAACATCTTTGAAGATTTAGCAAATCTGAAAAAGTTCAAAGTTAGATTTAAGAGATGTATAACAATAATAATTTAACTAATACCATTTCAAATATTTCATCCTTTGAAGTAAATTTTTAAGTTCATTTTGATATCAATTTCTATCAAAGTGTTATTCCTAAATAGTGTAAGTTATAGGCAAAAAAAGGATGATATATAAAAGTCTGCTTTTTCTAAGAAAATACATTTATGCTCACTCGCGCAGTTCGCGCATTCAAAACATTTTCTGGAAGAATTTGTGGAGGATTTTTAGCTACAAAAAAGCGCTGCTGCACGGTTAATTTAATCACTTTTGTTAAGTGTGTAAACAGTAAATATTTCTAAAAGCTGGAGCATATTTCTGGTTCAAATAGTTTTCCATTTTTGTTCCAAAAATATCCTGAGTATAAAAATAACGTGAGTTGTCGATAAATGGTGTTTGTTGAATTATTCAAGTTTCCGCAGTGTACAGTTATAGAGCCAGGGGGTAAAAAGTGTAAAACTGGAGGTACTATATATGCTTCTTCTGTTCTATATATTGTCTATGGCACTATATATGCTTCTTCTGTTCTACATATTGTCTATGGTACTATATATGCCCGCTTCCCCACCCTCCTTCTTATCCAATAAAAGTTTATAAGCTGGTGAACTCGGGATCAAGTTGAAAACTTCTTTTTATGAATCTTTTATTTTATGAGAATATTTGCACAATATAAGATTAGGAAGACCAGCTGATCAATTCCTGCCAATTTCGAGGATTTGTCCCGCAGAACTTCATCACACTTTTTCAATTTCAGTTTTAACCCTATTATAGCGGGAGGAGGGAGTAGGAGTAACCCTATTATAGCTGGAGGAGGGAGTAGGAGGGGGAGGGTGAGGGGGGATAGATGGGGAGAGATATGGAGGAGTTTTAGCTAGAGATTTTATAAAAAGGGAGAGAATATCTAATTACACAACTGTCTTGTGTTATCATGCGGGACAATATGTTTTTTGGCACATAATCACAACAGAAAACATAGTTTCCTAAACATAGACAGTGGAATATATAAATTTATTTAATTTAAGTCATATAGAATTGTTCGATTTTTATATTGAAATACGCGACATAAAAAGGGAAAAGTGTAAAGTGTTACTTATTTGCCTCGGAACAAATAAGAAACTTTTTATACCCAAGATCCTGAATTTGTAAAATTGCGGGATAAAAATTCTTTAAAAATTGAATTAAAGTTTGACAGTAGTTCGGAAAGGTGGAAATTGGGAAATTTAATTGGTTGCAGAGTTGGCTACAGGGGGAGGGAACAGGGGCACTTGCCCCCTTTTACCATAAGGGGGGGCTATAGAGGACAAATTGTCTGAGATAAAAAGAAAATAATGATAGGATGATATGAAGGAAGAACAAACGTTAATAAAGAAAGGAAAACAAAGAAAAAAGAGGCAAGAAATTGTTTACACCCTTTCAACACAATTTTAGACATCGAAAATAATGTTTTGACACAGTTCGATATTTATTAATCTATTTGATTGGGTATACGCATCAAAAATTATCTAAGAAATAATGAGTGTTTAGTAATTTAAATGGAAGACGACAATTGCGAGGAAATTTTTTTGCGATTTCCTCCTGCATTGATACATTTTAGAACTAAATGTGCATTTATTTATGTAAATAAATAATTTTAACTATTTTCAAATTGCTTGTAATGTCTAACATTTCGTTGAAATGGAAAACACATATAGGGGGTCTAGCTCCGCCCTACTCCACGTAGGATTGGCTCTTCACTCAAAACAACGGTTACAGAAGGGGGGCTAACTGCTTTACCCCATTTATGTTGTTTCATAACTAAAATATTTGCAAGAAACTGATTATATTTTTAAATTTACAATTCTGTCCTTTTTTCTAACGTCATCATACATCTACATACAGCTTATTATGTTTGAAAATTTAACAAAATATCACTTTTTAAAACTTGTAGAGCATGTGATATTATTTTTTTTAACCAAAGTTTAACACAAATTTAAAAGTTGATTTAAGTATTTATTAATTTCATTCTTACTCTGTTTATTTTTTTTTCTTCAGAGCTTAAAAATTTAGAACTTTGGATATCAAGAGCAACGCAATCAATGACTCTCATTGGTCTGAACCCAGCAGAATATCCAAAAGAGAGGATTTAGCAGAAAATGAAAAATGTCGACAGTGGATATGCAGTCAAGAGCGATCGGGATTAATTGGATATCCAGCACTGAACAATCGAGTTTCCAGCTCTGATTTAAAAACCTTCTGAATCTGATACCCTTAATCTACATACTCAGTACTCACTCTGACAGTTAATTTTAGAAATGCCTGAATACAAACTAAAGTTTAAATAATCTTAAAATTTTCAAAAAGAGGGGATAGAGCATTATCTCGATATCCACAATTCTAGAATTTTCAGCTGAGGTGTGATCTAACGATTTTGATTAAAAATTTTGAAAAACATTTTTCTAAATGTATTTTGGCCTTGATCTTATCTTTGGCTAGACTGAATTTCTTCTCGAGGATATTTAATGTTGAACACCTTTTACTGCTGCAGACTTGGCACCAGACAAGAAAGTTAAAGTTAAAGGGACTGTTCACGTTATTTCAATGGAAGGGTGACATTCCCAATTCATAACAGTTTACAGTACCCTTTAATCCTTTGTCTGAAATAAAATGAAGGAAAAGGTATATTTTTCTGTCTTAAAATTTCAATATGGGCTTTTCTTAGGATTTTAGCAGCGAAGACAAGGAAAGAAATTTTCAAAAATTACGACAAAATCAATGTTTCTCAGATTTGTGCATCGGAGGATTATCTGGACAGTCCCTTTAAGAACAATCCTATAGATTGGGACAACTTAGACTAAAATATATTCACAAACCCAGAAGACGCTAAAATATTTAACCCTATAATAGTACAGATTGTTTTTTTAATTCGTTTATTATTTAATATTTTCTCCACTAGGTATTCATGTCCTTAAAACTACTCAGAA